AGTAGTGGCATTGAAATTTTCGGACCCTCCCTGAACTTTTTCCTTAATTCTTCCTGTTGTTCAACGGTAACATACTTGTTAAGTGAAGAAGGCGACCCTCTGACTCACCATCTATCGGTGTCCCCAAGAGGCCATCGCGCGGCGAAGGAAGAGACGCAGAGCAAAGGACGAGTGCGTGCTGTGCGATATGAGACGTAGTATGGTACACTCTATTTAACCTGACGCCTAACCGCTACAGTATGCGCTGCGACTCGTCCTTTGCCGCGTCTGCGTCTCTTCCTTCGCCGCGCGATGGGCCTCTTGGGGGACACCCATCATCTATTAATCATAAACAGCTGCCAGAACAGAAGTTTCCTGTAGACACCCCTTGCAGATTTTTTGCAGCCGTGAATTCCACGAAATGTTGGGTACCCGGACAACCGGAACATTTCGTTCTACAATTACAGCCCTTAAGTGAGCCATTATACCTCATATTATAAGCACTTTCCTTACATCTATCAAGTGAGTGCTTGCCGCCGCCTTCAGCTTCTCCACAACCTTCCAGGCTCCCGTTCCATCCTAAATGGAACACGACAAGGTTGCATATCAGTTCTTTTCAGAAAATTTTCGTTCGGGGGTTTAGAGAAACTTTGAGAACTATTACAGGGTTTCTGTAACAAGGTAATCTAGATATTATTCCATTATTTAGAAAACTTTTTCCATGTAACGTTCTTTTCCCACTTTCACTGCTATCACTACTAAATAAATCGCGTGGTTGCAGAACTGCGGTTTTAGACGATTACAGTCGGTCAAATTAATTCAAAGGAAAATTCCACGACAAGGACGAAGGTCGAGGAAGAGGAAGTATACGTAGTGAAGAGAAAGGCGGCCTAAGCGTGCAGACCGGAACGCAATTCACATCCGAAGATATGCCCCTGCGATGTAATATGGCATTTCCCGCAGCGCTATTTTCTCACTTCTATTGCAGTACAACTACTCTCGCTGTTTGAGCCTCTAGCCATATAGCAGAGTGAGCGTTAGCGTTGGAGAGGGTAGCACCAATGAGAGTCGCACCAGTTTTCTTGGTTTTTTCTTCTTTTCTTGCAACACTGGCCATCTCTATCTAAGGAGCTATCTATCGTAAAATCCGCCTTTAAGTGATAAGGTTCAGCTTTTGCTCCATACCACTGAAGGCACTAAACATTTGCTAATTGGGTGTAGCTTCAAAAGAATCGTGCATAGAGAAACATTACTTTATGCCCTCTCATAAAGCGGTGGCACGAGAGTCATTCTTTATAAGAACGGGAATGAGTAAACTTGCTCTCACTCTTGATAAGCAATCCGAAAAACTGTGAAATAAGTGCTCGTTAAAATTAGCAGGACTGTTACAAATGTTGGTGCAGGGACGCTTTAATTTTTTTCTTCTAGTGCAGTCTCTGAAAAGTCCTTTTGACCTTCTGACCTTTGGTACATAGGCTCCTTTCTTCTGTTGCATACGGATCTATCTTGTAGAAAGCCTTTGTCTTTGCTTTTCGGATTCAAGAGGTTGAGTCTTACCAACGTGGCCGCTCCAACACGTTCTTCTTTCATGAGCCCCTTCGGTTATGTGTCTGTCTGGGTCCCCTAAGTCTGGTTCTTGGATATTTGTTTCTATTCGTTCCATACATGAAACATTGCACACTCCATCTACTGATCGCCCATAACTCATCTAGTATGAAGAAAGAACGAATCCATCAAAGTTCCGTGCACGTTTCTCCAAGAAAAAAAAAAAAAAACAAACAATAAAAATGTAATATAAATACGTACTTGCCTTATTCACCACTCATTGAAAGACAATGCTAGAGACAATGTTCACTCAATTGACGATCGACTACAAATCAGAGTTTCATTTTGCTATCGCATTGACGGAGTTGAATAGCGCTTTCTTATAATATGTAACATGTAGCAGTCTACCACAAATTTAGTCAGAAAGAGTGCCTTGAAGCTTGAACTACTGAAAACGGCAGGGGTTTTCCTTACAACCTGACAATATGTCCACAGCGAGGCTTCAATGACACTAGCGTTAGGCTTTATTGAAGAGCCTAATAATAAAATCTCACATCAAGACAAAAGCTGTAAGGACAAGAAAAAATATAGGACTTTAATAATATGAAAAATGAACATGTTGTTATTGTTATCAGAACTCCAGCGGGGTATATTCGCTGCGCACCCTTAAAGGCAGCGATTACGATAAAGTGGGAGCGCATCGGGAAGCATATGCACCACACGAATCAGTTACTTGGCTGCCAGGAAGCGAGGTGTAGCGCTTTCACGACGAAAGGTGCGCTGGTTGCTGAGCAGGACTTCGAAAGCACTCCGCCCCCAAAAGCGATCCGCCCACTAGTTTAGTTGGTGATTTGGACGAGCGTTGCCAGCAGTGGCACAACTCAACTCAACCCTTCTTAACCCATTCGCGACCGCGCAGGATTGCGCAATAGCAGCAGCGTCAGGAGATTTTTCTTCAATAAAATTCGAGTGGAGGGAGATTTCCTCTGCCCAGGGCTGGCGTAGATGAGCGAGGGTATGAAGATTCTTTCCATGGAAGAAAACTTTCCAAATTCCATTTCAAGCCCTGCAGCCACAGTAATACCATTGTCCCGAGTGAGAGCTTTGTCAGCCACCGGTGGCTGACATTGTCACGAATGGGTTAAATCTATCGTAATCACTGCCTTTAAAATACTCGTGAACCCTTTTCTTATCTATGAATCTTTCTGAAAGCCTATATGAATATGGAGGAATTTCAGAATTTCCACATTATGTCCCGCGGACGTCATGCGGACGACATACTCAATATTAACGTCGGCGGAAAGAAATACACAGTGAGTTACCGGCATTTCATCTTTTCAGAAAATTAATGATCTATTCTGGATATATTATCCCTTCTGACCATTACGGACCACGACTGGCTTTGCAGCTTTGCGGAACTCAGGAGTTTCGTCTACCTCTTATTTAATCTGAGCCTATTCTAATTTCGTCGCTATTTTTGCCCTAAAAGTCAACATTGCCCTCCGACGAATGAAGTTAGAGTGCAACGCACCGCTGAAGGAGCATGCATCATTAAGGATCACAGCATCACGATGAAGCTGGCGTTAAGGTTACCGTGATCACGAGTCTGGAGATCAGTATACCCTTGCAACTGTGCTAATACCCCTGTTCACAAAGTGGTAGGCCTTCCACTTTGTGAAGTGCACCAATCAACCTCCAACAGAGCGCTATGCGAAACCGTTCTCGACGATTTTTCAAATTCTCAAATTTTGTTCAAACAGCGTTCAAACTCGGTATTTGTTCAAAACCATGGGCGTGTCTTCACTTTGGAGAGGATTACGGGTGAATTCACCAAAGGGTTTGCTTCAGGACACTGACCGAGAATGGTCCAGGAACAGTGCACCGAGCAAACCCTCAACTTCATCAGTTATGACGAATGGCTCTCCAATTCTCGGGAAAGACCGATATATTTCCAAGTATGGGCTATCCTAAAGGGAAAAACTGCCCTATCAATTACCGAAATTTGAACCTTCTCATGACGGCGCTTTTGGAATCCTGGGACAAAATTGATGAAAAATACCTGCGTGCCACATGGCATGCGTATGCCAAATGCTCAGAGAACTGTGTAAAGGCTAGAGGCGATCATTTTGAGAACTGTTAATATGTTTTGAATTGTCATCTTTTCTACAAATAATATTCGTGATTAGAATCGATTTCTGAAAGCTAGTCTCGAAATGCCAACAAAATATTGGTGCACCAGTAATTTTGCCCCACCCTGTAGCCACTCCATGTCGTATCTCCTGGAATATCAAGAGCATTATCTTTGACAATGGTCCTGATTCATAGCGTGTTTTCTCTTCTGCCATATGCGGGTGAGTCCACAATCACTACTCACACTCGATTTGCATAACTGAGGAGAGCTCTTAACTACGATGCTCCAAATTGATGGTCCATTCACAATATATAGCCACATAGCAAAATTTGCCGCAGATGCGCGGGTTCCAGCCGATCATCAGGTACTACTCGTCGGGCAGAAATACCAGAAAACTTGAAGTCACTCGACGCCACCAACCTCCTCTTCACGGTCAACGCGTTGCCCAAAAGTCTTTGAGCCGGCATCGACGCAAATGAAAAGCGCTTCGAAAAAGTAATGCTTCTTGTTCAGTTTTCTATGAATAGCTTCCCATCTCGCCCTCATATCAACCTTTCACGCGATTATTTGGTTTTCATTGTCTTGCCCCTCCCCCCCCCCCTCCCGTATATCCAAAATAGATGACGAGAAAGTGGCGCTTCCTATCCATCCACTTCTATTAGTCCATACCACCATATGATCAACTTTGTAAACAAATAATTAGATAAAAACGCTGGGCGGCTCGTTCCGATTGTCCACAATCCACCGTTGCTTGTAGGTTCGACGAACTGACATGCTGGCCGATCCACGATCGAAACTTGCTGAGTGGTTCAAGCCAGGTACCGTGAAGCCCATTGCTACAGACAAGGTGGGATTTTTTTCCTCAACTTGTTCTATTCATTCCAGTGTTGCATAGCAAGACAGTCTGCAAAACAGTCCTGCTTTTACAAAGATTTTTAGGGTGGAAACTACTACTTGGATCGTGATGCTAAAACATTTCGCCACATACTCGCATATCTTCGTTTAAAGAAGGAAAAATTTGTGCCTTCACTCGCCCTCCCGAGCAAGCCTGACGATTTGGCCAAGTGGGTTTCCATAGATGTGGTATAGGAGATCTTCAATGCGGCTTTCACTTTTTCGCATTCCGTTATAGTCTTTTCCTAACATATCTGTAAAAGTAATAACACGGAGCTGAATCCTCCTTGCAGGCGTAGTATACCTACCAACATCCATCCATATTTTGGGTCAGAATCAAGGATTTTCAGCTTGCTACTTTATTAAATTCACATGCACTGAAACCACAGCGCACTTAATGTTGGAAGGCGACATCTGCATCACCAATATTTTTATGAAAAAAATTCAAAAGTATCCTGTTTCAAACGCATAAAGGCATCCTGAGCAAGAGGGTTTTGACAGTAGGGTTTCTTCTTCGTGTCTAGTCATTTGCGATTTTGTGCAGTGCTTAGTGAAAGCAATGTTTTACTGTTCACCATCAAGAACAATCCCATAGTCGCTGGAGTCATGGGATGCGAGACAAGAGTCCCCTGAGGTCGCCGCGCAAGCGAAAGTAGGTCACCGCACGCGGCGGCTATCTACCATATCCAGCTTGAAACGTATCAAGTTGCTAGGACTAAGCTGAAACAAATGCAGGAATGGGGCCTACACAGAGGGAACAGGAAAGCGTTGTATCGATCGTCTGGAGAGGGGTCCTTGAACGCGGCTGCAAACTGCAGAAACGCCGGCGACGTCGCGCGCGGTGACCTAGTTTTGGCGCGGCGGTCGCGGGGGACTCTTGACCGTCTCCCGGAGTTATGCTCGATACACGAGTAAAAGAGAGTACACCGCTGTTGCACAATGCAGACCATGGGGAGTTCCCCCTGCTACAAGTCCAAGTGGATCTTTCTTTGGTCCCTCCACCACCTGTGATTCCATGCAGGACGTCATAATTAAAATTATTTTTATTGCTAAGAATAATCGGATTGTAAAAGAACCTCAAGTGGTCATCATAATTTTGATAGGACCACCTGAATTCCAGTCCGTTCTCACGTTTCTCCGGCTATTTTAGAGTGAACCATTCCATGATACTTTTTCGTGGCCAGTGGGCCTCAATCATGAATTCTTTCGCAAAATTACACGAGTTTAGTGGGTAGTTTTCCAGGTAGCAATTCTTTACGCGGAAAGCGAAAGTTCATGACGTATATCCCAGATTGACGTGCTATAATTGGAAAGCGATTGCTGCATATAACATATTTCGTATTCAAATGATACTTGTGGCCTTCTAAAGGTGCTGTTATCTCCATAAAAAGCCTTTCAATACGGCCAGGAGATTGGCCACGCTGAGCAGCTGTGAAGTATTTAACCTTCCACAGACTTGTTCATGGGTAGGAAGCCCGCTGACTCGTCCAGATCTACTAAAAAACACTGTGCTTTCACTAACCTGGCATCGAATCGTAAAAATATTAGAAAAAATAGAAAAAAAAATAGAAATTCACTGGTAACTTCCTCTTGCACGGCATGCCATCACACTTCTGAGACAGGGAAATTCTCGAATTTTTCTTACGAAATGTTTCTAGTTCATATTCCGAAATGAAGTATGCTGTGATTCCAACGCATGCCGAATTCAATAAAGTAGTAGCAAACCATGAATCCTTCATCCTGATTCGGAACAGCTATTGTTCCAAAGAGTCGTTCAGGGCAAGCCACACTTTTTAAAACGATTCTTTGCATGTTATACAGAGTGTTCCATGAGTACTGCAACACATTTTGAGCTTCAATTGTGTGGGTGTCTGTAGTCTTTTTCCCAAGGTTGGCATACCTTCACTTCCTATGACCTCTTGTGAATAACCTTGCCAAGTGCACGGCTTACCATTCGTTGTACATCTCATGGTGCACCTAAACCTCAAAAGAGGTCCTAATCCCTCATACAGCTAGGTCGGACATCCGGTGATGAACATCGCGCTTCTTTGGATTTTCAACCGCTCCGTGGCCTACCGTGTACTAAGAGAAGACCAATAAAGTAGTCTTTGTTGCGGCCGCCCCACAAGTTCTGACATCTTGGATCTCAGGAAAAGCATGAAGAAGCGAAACGACTGCAATACCCGGGTTGGCTCGAGAAAGGTGACCAGAACGCTGGAGTTTCTAAACACAGCCATGTAGAGAGTGGTCAGATAACAACTGCTCACAGTCCATTATAAGTTGCATAAGCACCACTGCTCAATCCAACGGGAGGAGCACAGCAGAGACAAAAAGTTCAAAGAGCTGGTGTCGAGGGCCGAAAATGGCGATTACGCGGGCACCGTTTTCATCGACGACAAAATTCCTCACATGGAGCGGAGCTACAATCTTCAAACTCCGAGGATGCCCGCACGAGGTCTGAGGAAGCCAATGAGAGTGAAAAGAATTTTTGCCACAAGCAACAGTCAATCTTTGTCATGATTTCGGCAAGGGTCTCCATTACTTTTCGCTCACCACAACTTTCTATTGAAAAGCGAATAAATCTCGATACAGACCTAGCTAACGAATGTATCAGTGCACCATTTATTACAGGTATCTACCTTTTTCAAGAGGATGCGACCTATTCTCAAAGGATAACGACAGGCTTCATAAGCCTGCCAAAAAATTAACAATATGTTTATGCATATGTTCCCTATTTCACATCCTCAAAAGGCTCTCATATCTTTCGATTTCAACCTGCGCTGAACCATCCTATTTGGGCTATATTAGGGGACAGAGCCTGCACTAAACAATGCATCCAAATAGAGGAGCTGAAGCCTTTTCTCTAGATTTCGAAGAAGGCACTCCAGGATGCCATGCGGGAAACACTAGAGTTGTGTTCGAAGCAACTGGAAGCCATACTCACAGCGACAGGGAGACTTATCGAATAAATGTCATTCCTTTCAACATCTTAAGGACGGACTAAGAATAGTGTGTGACCACTTGAAGATACGTCCACTTTGAGAGAAGTTATAAGTTAAAGGCACGCTCCGCGATCAGGCGGGCTCGCCTGTTCCATCCAGGGGGTAGTAGGCAGGTGGACAAGTGTTGATGTCGCGCCCCTTTTGCCGCTTGAAAGTGCGCGACAAAGGCGCAAGGAGCTCGTCCGACCCGCAACTCACACCTTCGTCCGCAAGCCCCACCCTCCGCTGTCGGTTGCCACGTGGCGCTGCTTGAAAAGCGCGGGCGCATTTGAGGCAGCGGTCCCATTGCGACCCAATGTTATTGGCACTGGAGCAACTAGAGTTAGGTTCGTGAAACTCGTCCAACGCGCCTCTTCTCTATCCCAAGGTGGAATGTGGCTGAAATAGGGGAGGTCTCTGTACGGGGCGTAATCGGTGGTTTCGTTTGCTTTCCTTCTCTTTTACAGACCACCTCCCACCTATAGCTTCATAACTGAACGCTTTTCCACACCTATTTTATCCCGAATCTTGCCTTTAAGAAACCTGTTGCCGCATTTATGCAACACCCTGTAGGAACTCATGCGTGGACTACAGAATCAAGGTCCATTTTCGGTGCGTGCCCTCGTGAAGTTCAAAAAGTGGTGAGCAAATGGTCCAGGGGTAAATGGCATATCCGTGAACAGAGATCAGAGCATTGGATATTCCTTGCAAGAGAAGCTTTAGAAAAAAAATTGGGGTTTTGAGCCAGTTCCAAAAATTCGTTAGGTCTGATTATCCCATAGGGTACGCCAGCCGGCCATTGCTGAAATGAGTTTCCTCGTAATCCTCCCTCCTCAAATAATAGGAAATTCCGCTACCGAATAGACAATGGCAGTTACCCAAGCTGGTTGTGGACAACAAGACCCGCATGAGCTTCGACAGATTCTTCTCTCGTTCAAGACGTGCTATTTCAAGCCCTCGGCTCTTCCACTCGTCTTATAGCTGGTGGATCGGGGTCCTGATCATGGGAATAGCGTTCCTTTTTGGCGTCGACGCCATTTGGAGCCAGTCTGGTGCTGCAGATTTATTTTGCCAGTTTCTGATAGTAAGCCCATTTGCAGGAGCTGCTGCTGGTCCTGTGAATAAAGCGTTAATAAGCAATTTGGCGCTGATTTGGAGGTGAGAGTCAAAAATGCGAAGGTTATTGTCATAGAGCGGAACCGAACCACAAAGTCTTTTCCACCGAGCCAATCCGAGTCGACCAATCTATGCACATGACCACTAGACCACTGCGAAATGCAGTAGATGCCGGCAACACTTATGAAACCTCCTCACTTTTTCCAGCACTACACTGACAGTACTTCAATTTTGGCGAATTTCACGTTGTTTTCGATACCATCTTATCAGCACCCTTCAATATGCAGGTGATCTTTTGTACAAGTCCGAAACGTCACTCCAAGCTGTAAAAACCGCCCATTCTTAACAATTTTTTCGACCCTTTTTGGCCTTCAGGCCGCTCAGCGAAAATGAAATACAATACTGTAGTCCACGCGAGAGCCCTTACAACATCCGAAAAGCCGTTTTGGAAAAGCACGGCCCTAATTGTTAGAGGTGCTTTCTACTTTAAAAACGCACTGTATTCTTAAGCTTAGCGTGTCAAAATCATGCATTTTGTACTACAAGGCAATCGACTTTTACAGGTTAGTTGGTGAATGTGAGGCACTCAATCTTGCTGAGCTCAAGGATCTCGCACTGGATCTACTTCAGAAATATCAGCGAACTGAAGAGCAACACTACGTGACATCATTTGTACAGGTCACGCTTCGTGACTTCGAGAGTTGGCAATTTGAAAGAGAGCAGGTGCGCTATAATTTTGTTGCAGTTTATTCGTAAGTAAATCGCTGGGACCATGCTTTGCCGCACAAAAATTTCAGCAACAGTATTTCCATACTATCGTTGCCTTTTCCTCTACACCACAAGCAGTTCCTCTATTCATATATTAGATTGTCCCATCATCCTACTTACTATAAAGCGCTTCGTCTGTCGTCTGTCGTTCTGTATGTCTGTCACGAAATTCCCTAGCTCCTCGGGATCCGCCTGGAGGGACCGGGTCAAGTGTGGGATGGGTGGGCAAGGTCTCACGAAGTACAAAACACACATCAGCTAAGCGGAGCCCCGCCCACAGTGGGCGTGGCGTGCGTCGAAATGAACTGTACCGACGACCAAGATTTCAATTTCAGTGACAAAACAACCTCGAAACTGGGCCAAAAAGTGGGTAAAGGTGTGCATTGGTAAGTCACATCGAATTAGGGAGACCCACCCCGGTGGGCGGGGCGTTCTCCAAAAAAGCAGTGCTTTATGAAAAATTTCATAACTCGGTTGGGAGAAAGCCTACAGAGCAGAAAACAAATTGGTGTAGGGGAGCAATGTCTAAGGTGTTCCCAGCATACATGACGTGGGGGCGGAGCGCGCTCTGAAGTGTACAGCATTTTCTACAAGTCCTCATAATTCGGGCCGGAGAAGTCTTAGTGAGCCGGAAAAAGGTGGATAGAGGTGGGTGGAGGAGTGGAGGCCAACTGTCATGGTGGGCGGGGCATGACCAAAGTGGGCGGAGTTTGCGACGAAAATTCATAACTCGGCTCCAAGAAGTCCCGGAGGCCGGGAAAAAGGTGGATAGAGGTGGGTGGAGGAGTGGAGGCCAACTGTCATCGGTGGGCGGGGCATGACCAAAGTGGGCGGAGTTTGCGACGGAAATTCATAAGACCGGGAAAAAAGTGAATTGAGTTCGACAACGGAAGGGAGGTTAACTGCTATTGGTGGGTAGAGCGTACACCAAAGTGGGCGGAGTTTGCGACGAAATTCATAACTCGGTTCCAAGAAGTCCCGGAGACCGGGAAAAAGGTGGATAGAGGTGGGTGAAGGAGTGGAGCCCAACTGCTGTTAGTTTCAAGGTAGGCGGAGTTCTCCACAAAACTTTGTGACTCAGGCTGCAAGAAGTGCTGGAGACCGGGAGAGAAGTGGCGAAGGAAAGGAAGTGAATTTCTAATGGTGTGCGGAGGATACACCAAAAAAGCAGGATTCGCCGCCAAAATTATAAATCGGCTCAGAGATAGTTCAGAGATCGGGTAAAAAGTGGGAAGAGGTTGGCGAGGAAGAAAAAGATAGGTGGGACATGCAAAGAAATAGGCGGAGTTTACCACGAGATTCATAAATCGGTCCAGAGGCAGTCCGAGACCGGGAAAAGCGGACAATTGGTTGACGAAGGACGGACAATTGGTGGACGAAGGAGGGAAGGTCAAAAGCCATCGGTGGATGAAGCATGGGGCAATCGGATAGAATTCAGCTTGAAAGTCAAATATTCGAAGTGTATTGGGCCAAATTCGAAAATTCACGCCGCACCATCCCATATCGCCGCAGAACTGTGCTGTGCGCGCAACGCGTGCGGCGCCAACTGGTACTATATATAATTCGCTAAGTATGTCTGTGCGTGTGTGTGTAGTCTGTGTGTGTCACGAAATTCATAGCACGCGTACCAGCAGTCGTCAGGAGTTGATTTCAGGATATGATATAGGGGGTGGGACGGGAACATATTTGGTGGGGGTCAGAAAGTGATAACGACTGATAAGAGCTGATAAGGGGCGCTAGAACGCAAAAGTCACGAAATTCATAGCGCGCGACCCAGTAGCAGTGAGGCGTTGTCTTCCGAATATGATGTAGCGGGTGGGACGCGAACATACTTGGTGGGGACCAGAAAGTGATAACAGCTGATAGGGGCTGATAAGAAGCGTTGGAAGGAAAATGTCACGACATTGACAGCGCAAGGCCCAGCAGCACTGAGGCGTTGTTTTGCAGATATGATATAGGGGGTGGGACGGGAACATATTTGATGGGGACCAGAAAGTGATAACAGCTGATAGGGGCTGATAAGAAGCGTTGGAAGGAAAATGTCACGACATTGACAGCGCAAGGCCCAGCAGCATTGAGGCGTTGTTTGCAGATATGATATAGGGGGTGGGACGGGAACATATTTGATGGGGACCAGAAAGTGATAACAGCTGATAGGGGCTGATAAGAAGCGTTGGAAGGAAAATGTCACGACATTGACAGCGCAAGGCCCAGCAGCATTGAGGCGTTGTTTTGCAGATATGATATAGGGGGTGGGACGGGAACATATTTGATGGGGACCAGAAAGTGATAACGGCTGATAGGAGCTGATAAGGAGCGTTGGAAACAAATGCTGAAGTTCTTATCCAGATGTGGGATAAGAACATCTCATTTCTTCGCGATGTAGTCGTGATCCATTCGACCGCTAATCTGCCCGAGCTTCTTAAATGGTCGGCGTCTGTGGAAATACGATAACTATTGGTATTTCTATCTCATCACCGGCATAAGAAGTTATTCGACCGCTAAACCATCCCAACATCCAAAGCATGGTAGATGTTTACGCTGAGGGCTGATAAGCAGCCCAAGTAATTGTATTAGTTATCCAAAGCTCATTCGGCTGCTAGACTTTGTTAGTTCCAGAAAAATGATGGATGTTTATTGGTATTGACGAACTATGAGAAATTACTGCTTTATCATCTGATTTCCTTAATACCATCAGTCAAATCCATTGAAAGCAGTATGTTACTCAGTACAATAGCCCGGCTATACACAGTTTCGCTTTTACGTGCGCGCGATAGCGAGCGGAGCAAAGCTGGTAATTTCTGAACTACTACACATTTACTGATGAACAAACTCCCAGAAAATGCAGGATCGGGGCATAATTGTGGTGACAAAGTAATTGTGACCCAGTACGAATCAGAGCGACCGAAACGGGTAACAACAATAGCATAGCATTACAATTCTGTCAAACAATTGCCAATATCTTTATTGAAAATGGCCGTACATAAGCTCCACAACGAAGGAATCCTAGCGAAATCGATCGATCCGTGTTCGCTTGACATCCTTCAAAATTCCGTCTTATAAAGGATAAAGCATTTGCCGTTTTCTGTATGGTCACTTCCGCCTCATACTTTTCAAGCTGGTCAATCTTTGTACGTCCCAAAGCCAGGCTATTGGCTCTCCATCGGAGTTCCACAGAATTTTATGCATAAACACTTGCTTGCCATTAACTCTGTGCAACAGACTTTCGTCTCGTCCGGGCTGACACGCGGCGAATCGCGCGGCGGGCTGCGCGGCGATCCGGACGAGGCAAGTCTTCGCGGGCTTCTGCAGTGGAATTTAACACGTCAAAGCGTGTGCAGATCGCGGATAAAAAGCAAGGTTCTGCTATTCGAATTATTTTCCAACGCGTGGAGATTGAGAATAGCGTTAATTGTAAGGGAGCTTTAGTTGGAAAACATGAGAAGGAACATAGCGAGAAGGGCGGTCTCAGGTCCTTGAGAAGGGGGGAGGTTGTTGAGGACATTCGAGTGAGCCAGTTTCTGTGCATGAAATTGAGCCTCAAGGAGAATGGGATTCTGGGGGAAGATGAGAGCAAATTGTGTTCTCCCTGGCGTTTCTCGCCTCTCTTGGGCTTAGTCCTAGTGTCACCTACCTGTTTTAATGTTCCCCTAGAGTCACGTGCGCCAAGATCAGCAAGCATATATATTTAGTTAGCACTGAATAACTACATCCTGATAAAAACTCCTGATTTCAGTGTTACTATCCACTTTGGTGATAATGTGACTTCTATGAAGGCTCTCTCGAATCTCTTGTCCTAAAATTCCCTTACCGACACCGCTGCATTCATCTCCGCGTGCGGAAGGTTTTCTAGGTTTTTCCGAGCCGCAGAGCCATGCAGAATTTATCAGCGATCTGCACACGGTTGACGTGTTGAATTCCATTGCAGAACCCGCGAAGCTTGCCTCGTCCGGATCGCCGCGCATGCCGCCGCGCAACTCGCCGCGTGCCAGCGTGGACGAGCCAAAAGTCCCGCACCCAGGAACTCTATCGTTTGAGTGAAGCTGACGACAGTTTTCTTCGAAATTCCATTTCGCATAGTATTCGGCTAAGTTCTACTCCACATAGACGGATAGCACGGAGAGAATAAAGTCATTATCGCTGATCTATTTATTTATTTATTTATTTATTTACTTTGT